GTGAAGGCTTCTTCATAGGATTACTATGAGGATTAAATATAATCTTACATGGAACATCCATGGTAAGAACCAGGTAACTGGTTTCTCTTAATATGTTTAACAAGTGTAAGTAGAATTAAGGGCACAGTGAGTCCCTGTAAAAATATTGATTTTCCACCAGGGATGACTCTGTTAAAGAAACACTGTGACAATTTGTAGTAAATGCAACAGCCTTCATCCACCTGTTCCATAAATTTATGGGGTACCTACTATGTCATAGGATACAAAGATAATTAGAATAGGTATTTTTCTTAAGAAGCATATGGTCTACTAAGGAGCTAGAACATATATTACTAATTACAATGCATGGTGTTACTACCATAAGAGTATTACAAATTAAATTCTAGGTAGTATTTTTTTGTACCCGGAATCAAACTCAGGACCTCGTGTTTTCCAGGCAGGTGCTGTGTACCTGCGCTATATCTCCAGCACCTAAAGTCTTAAAAGAAAGAAAAACCAATTCTCTGTAAGGCTTCTTGGAGAAAATGATACGGGTACAGTTTTGAACAATAAAACAGGAAAAGAATAATGGAACGAGTATTTGAAACACAGGAACGAAGATGAAGAATAAAATGTATAGATTGATTAGTAAGCATTTTTTTCAAGATTATTCTCTCAGAGTGAGTCATCTAGTCATTCAAAAGAATGGCAGAACATTTCTTGTCCTTAATTTCTCAGAGGAATCATATTTTGCCCTTTTTCTGAACCTATGCTTTCCCTTTTTATAAATGAGGAATCCTGATGTTAACACTAGGATAGCAAGAAGTTTTATAAACTCAAGATCAAGAAAATTGTTTAACTTGAGTTTTGCCATGTAGTTTGGAACATAATTTTTGCACTAAGCAGTTTATTTTAAATAAACTTGAACCTATCCTTTAGAAACCTAACACAGTAGCTGTTGTGGTAAATGACAAACACTGTATTTTAAATTTTATTTATACTGTTCTGTATAATATAATTTCCATCTCCAAAGACTCACGTGAATCTAGGAACTACATTTCTCACTCTGTGATATATACCCTACTCATTACTTAAAATAATGGGATTTCACTTTTAAAATATAACTTTGGAGTAAATCTCTTATCCCTAAATGTATTTCATAGTTTAAAGCAATCAATTCATGAAATGTCTCATTTCTTTTAAAATGCATTTTATAGTGAAAGCCTGTCAAATTGAATCCAAAGTTTTTCTGTAATAGTTCACATTTTTCTGGCCAGGTGTTCTCATATGATTACAGATTGGTAGCCTCCCTGTATAAGAAACAGTGCATAACACCTGTTGAATGTTCCTATTCCTGCATAACAAAATACCCCGAAACTTGGTGGCTTAATTCAAAAATCTTCATCTTGAGTTCGCCTACAGTTCTAGGAGCTTACAGGGTGGTCTGGGTTATTCTTGTGCAACATCTTCCTAAAGCTGTAGGCAAATATGAGTGTGACTTGAACCAACTGAGTGCTTCTCAGTCAATGTAACCCTACTCCAGTTTACCTTCAAATACTAAGAGCATTAAAATGCTGAAAAGTACATTTCTGAGATTATCTCATACTCCCCAAAGTGTGCCAAAGCTGTAATAAAACCATCAAATAGAACCACTCTACATCATGTTATTTCCATGTTTTGATAGGCTCAACACTACTCAACTTCATTACAGCTGGAGGATTATCAAAGAAGTGTGAACTGAGGAAAAAGTATATATTAAACTGAGATACACATTGTGAATGATATAGCCAAATTCCGACGCCCAGACTGAGGTTAAGAAAGTATATCTTCCTTATGGGAGTTAGAAAAAATGCTGATTTACTTAAATAAAGGAGCTGTGTCACTTCTAGGTATCTCCTCCTGCCTAACAAACTATGCTGAACTTTGTTGCTTGAAAGAACAATGATTTTACTGTATCTCACAAGCCCGTTGAACAACATTTTTGATAAGGCTCAGTGGGACAACTCTGCTTTTCACAGGATTAAGTCAGGCCCTCAGGACTACACAGTTAGTGTCTGGGCTCAACTGCAGATCCAGGATGACTGCACTCATATGTCTGGCATTTAAGTGATCTCCCGGCAAGTACCAGGAACTCCGCATCCTTTCCAGGAGAGTAATCAAGTGGGTTCCGTGAGGACTCATGGTTCCAAGGTAGAGTCTCCAAGAGACAGGAAAGGAAGCTTCAATATTGTTGTATCTGCTTGCGACACCAGCACAATGACATTTTTGCAATACTCTCAATCAAAGTAGTCACAGGAACTCCATTTAGACTCACGGATGGGAGGATTGACAAAATCTTAATGAAAAGAATTACAGCTATGTTTAATTTGCCAAGGGACCATCAGAAGAAAGACTATTCTGAAGCCATACTTTGGAATCTCGGGACTTTGAACACCTTATCTAACTTATGAGTTGACTCAAAAGCAGATACACACAGAAGACACAGTGTGAAATAGAAGAAAAATTGAACCAAATCTACAGGTGGCATTACTTACCTTAGCTTGAAAAGTAGAATCTGACAATATTAAAGGTGAAAGTTTCCCAGTTTCAGTTACATTAGAATCTTTTAATATGAAAATATCACTGTGTGACTTTTAAAAATATATGATCACATGTCTTCTACATATTGTATTACATACATGCACTCCTATTCAATGAGAAGATATTTTTAGAAATAAAACATTGATTTTTAAAAAGTTTTTTGGGGGGGCTATAACCTGGATTTTCTCTTTAAAAACTGAAAAAGGTATTAAAGCATAACCAGTTTTCAAAGTAAGACCTACATCTTATTTGAATTGTTTACTATAGCTGTATAAATTAGCCATGTGAAGTAGTGTACACACCTCAATAGATGAATAACAGACACTTAGTTTCACAAAATCCTTCACAATCTAATACCACTTTCTTAATCTCATTTGTCTTAAGTGTCTTCCCAATAGCCCTTAGTCACAGACTACCAGGAACACACCTATAAATAAACAAGTTAGGTTTATTATTATTCTTTGCAATAAGAGAAATCATGCACCACAAGATGCTCCTCATTCTCAGTAAAATGTTAGAAAGAAATTTAGAGGATTGCAGCATATTTCCATGACATTTGCTATCTTCACAAATCTTAGGATAAAAAAAGTAAACCGAGGCTAAGATTATAATTGACTGAGATGCAGGAATCTTCTATTAAATCAGATAAGGTGATATTTAACCATTTTTGTGGTGTGAAAAGAAAAACTAAGATCAGTTGAATTTAACAAACTCTACAAAAGAAAGAAAAAAAGAAAGAAAGAAAGAGAGAAAGAAAGAAAGAAAGAAAGAGAGAAAGAAAGAAAGAAAGAAAGAAAGAAAGAAAGAAAGAAAGAAAGAAAGAAAGAAAGAAAGAAAGAAAGGGAGGAATCAGCAACATTCCAGACTAAAGATAATTCTGAATGCCCCACCTCACCACATGTATACATTATATTTATAGCCAGAGAAAAACAAATAACGTATGGAAGCAACAGATTAGCTACCACCAGCATTTGTTTCTTATATTCACGATCTAATCCGTTTGCAGCCTGTGACTGATTTATTGAAGTTTCATTCTTTTATTGGCTAAGACTTAGTTGCCTGGTTACAGTTTGTTGGTATATCAAGCTAGAGCATAGTTCCTATATACTGTACAGACAGCTTTCAGCCACACTTTATTACCAAATGCAGAGACAGGATTAGACCAAACTTTTTTAAATTTAACAGCCGCTTGGATAATACTTACCCTTTTACCTACATTCGAATACCATTTTGCAGTGGCTTCTTCTCTCGATACACCTAGCTCTAAGCGGCCTTGTCTGAGGTTGATGCTCCATGAAATCGTGTAGGCTCAGCAGGAACACATCAGTTCCTAGTCCAGGTTTGACCCAGATGTCAGAGTTTGCTTTTTTGCTTCCACACTCCAGGCAAGCCATACTTCAAATGGAATTGAATTTTCTCTGTTCCCCGGCCCTCGCCTTATATTCATTTCCCTGTTTCTTCAGAAATCCATCCTTGGAGCACTTAAACTCAGCTTTTTCTCTGACAGTCATTGCACTGGGTGTTGTTTGGTTATCTATTTTCAGGCTTTGTTTCCTCAAATAACATCACGGTGTGCTTTTGAGACAGACAGCGGGGAGGGAGACGTTGGAAGGGAACATAAAAAGAATCAGACGTGTCATGTACACCCAGCAACTCCCCACAGTGAATGCAATCATTACGTACTGCAAGCGTGCACTAATAAAAATAGAAAAGAAATAAATGTTTGAAAGCTAAAAAAATCCAGTGGAACCACAAAAGACCCCAAGAAAACCAAAGAAAATTTAAGTAAAAAATAGCAAAGCCGGACCACAATACTTATAGGGACTTAGGAGAATGAAATAGTATATTATGTTTATTCAGCTATTACTGTTTCTGTTTTCCTTTACATCTGATTACCCACACTTCCCTTTCATACTATTTAGCATATCTTCTGCAACTGAATCATTCCATCAAAATGCATTTATTTCATCTCATGAAAGGATATTTTCATTGCATATAGAATTCTCGATTGATGGTTATTTTCTTTTACCACTTTATGTATTTTTTCTCGTTTCCATTAATTCTGATGAGAAATCCACCCATTTAAGTCACTGTTACCTTGTGTGCAATACACCAGTGTTCTCTGAAAAAAAAACAAAAAAATTATACATCTCTCAATATTGCCAAAGAACTGGTAAATTTACTTTCCTGTTTCATAAACTACAACACAAGGGGTGAATTTGTTTCACATAATTAAACAAAATCGTTTCGGAAAACGGACTCAAGAAAAGAACCCAGGTCTGAATGAATGATCTTTGGGAAGAAATCACCAGATTCTGACGGCCCCAATCCAGAGCTGGACTACATTTCCCAAAAATCTCCGGGGCTGATGAGGCGCCGCCAAGGTCTGCACTACAATTCCCACAATCCTCGGCCGCCCTTTGGTCGCTTAGCGGAAGTGCGACCCACTTCCCGTCTTCCGGTCGGGTCTCTTCCTCTCGGGGAGCAAGGTCGTGAGTGCGCGAAGGCTTTGAGGTTTGCGGCCATTTCTCCCGCCTTGCGTCTCTGCACCTTTCGCGGAGGCTCCAGCGGCACCATGTTGGGGCAGAGCATCCGGAGGTTCACAACCTCTGTAGTGCGTCGGAGCCACTACGAGGAGGGTCCCGGGAAGGTGCGTGTGCGGGGACGGGGCGCCGGGACCTCGGGCGGGAAGGAAACAGCCCCGCACCCCACTTCCGCCCGCGCCGGCACCGCGGGGACCCCCGCCCCGAACTGCGGCCCGGCCGAGCCCGCCGCGCCCTCCCTGCCCTCCGTGCAGGCCCCGGGCGAGTGAAGGTCGCGGGGCCGGCGGGACGCGAGCCCGGGCTTGGGAGGCGGCCTGGTGTCCGCGTATTTTGTTCCTTTTGCGTAATGATTACATCTCCTACGGGGAGCTGGTGCACGGGCATAACACATCCTAAGGATTTTTTTATCCTCCTTCCATCCCTTTGTCCCTTTTTCTCTTGCAAAAGATCTGTTTCCTACAACTAGTTGACTTAACTAGCTAGTTGTCTAGACTAGCAGTGCTGAACCCCCGCCTTAGTTACAGTCTGTTCAGCCGCAGGTGAAAATAACTCAGATCGCGGAGTCAGGAGGGTTAGGTGAGGCTTAACTGTAAAAAGAGGTGGCCAGCGAGCTCCGTGAAGAAAAGCGAAGTTGTAGAGTCATCAGCATGGCCACACTTAGTAGGTGGGTCATTTTTAATAAACAGCACCCTAACAGTGCGTTTTGTTCCTAAAGTGGCGAATTTGAAGGGTGTAAAGAGTTAAGATGTACTATGTCTGTGCCCCAACTCTCCACGATGATTTTAACCATTGTGTTTTGCAGCATGCACAATAAAAATTATGTAAAAATAGGAAGCTGCTCCCCTGTTTCACACCTGGGTTCCTAAAACCATTGCATGGTGTTCAGGAAAGCCAGATACTTCCAGTGTTACAGGCACCTGATGTTTTAAGAGTTTGTCTGCCTACCTTTTCCTGAGTTCCTTGTGTACTTGTCTTTTTCGATTGATAAAATCTGATTTGACGGTCCATTTTTATTGTTTGTTCTCGTTTCTCTCCCAATAGAATCTGCCATTTTCTGTGGAGAACAAGTGGAGGTTACTGGCTATGATGACCTTGTACTTTGGATCTGGTTTTGCGGCACCTTTCTATATAGTGAGGCACCAGCTGCTTAAGAAATAAGGATGTTGTAATTCATCCCCTTTCGCAGGTAATAGTGCAATTCAAATTTTTGTAAAGCAGTGCTGTTTTACACGGAATCCATCCCGCCTTCCAAATTAAACCACGCCCCGATACACACACGCGCGCGCGCGCGCGCGCACACACACACACACACTTCCTGATGTTAAATCCAGCTGTTACATTGGTGGAGACAAGTTGGTAAAGCTACAGACAGGTTACTTTGATCACTAAGTGCTAATGACTGCATACCATTTTACACTAATAAGCTCATGGCCTCTCAGTAAGCAAGATTGTGATTTTAACTCTTGAAACACAAAGATGATCAGTTGCACATGGTCCTATAGCTACTGTAGTGATGGTGGACCAGGATTCCCATCCAGGCAGTGTTGCTTTAGAGCTCACACATTAAAGTTCTGCTAAACTGATTGATGAGTAGTTTATACTGACATAATAATGCCTTAGAACATGTCTTTTTAAACGCTATGAATCTTTTGGATCCCTTTCTAAATGGTCACTGTACTCCCAGTTCTTATAATCTAGGTTTAAAATATTGACGTAATACGTGAAAATTTCCTGTAAATAAGGAAAATCTTCTAGTACTCCTTTAATTTGTGTCCCATATATTTATGCTACTATAAATTGAAATCAACTCAGCCATCTTGGGAAAATGAAGGCAGTAGTCCTCAAACGGGAAGAGTTTTGTACCAGGGGGTGGTGTGGCGGGTATTTTACAGTGTCTGGGATGTTTTCATTTTTTGATTGTCTCAAGGAGGCAAAATACCAGAGTTCCAGTGTTGAGGGAATGTGTGCATTAAGGGAAAATGTGTTAGTACGTGCTCAAAGAAACTTCCAGATCCTTTGTATGAGTAAAACACTATTTAATGTGGTCAGAGTTTTTCAGAACAATGGTATGGGAAGCTCTGTAGGATGGTTAAAATGAATTTAAAAATGTACCTTACAATGAAAAGCCTATTTTTCCTAGTTGAGAAAATGCTTTAGAAGAGGAATGACTTACCCAAGCTATTAACATAAAGGGTTTTTGTTTTTTGTTTTTTTTGTTTTTTTTTTTTTTTTCCATTTTTTTTCATGGCGCATATGATGAAGCAAATCAGTATGAATGAAATCATGATACTGTAAACGCTTTCTGATGTGCTAAGCTGATTAGCAATGTATTAATGACAGTACATAATAGCAGTAAAATGAATGGGTGTTTTTAAATCCCATTAATTTTTGTTTTTGTTTTGCAGATGGGAAGAATTTCTCAAGAGGTGTAATGTCTGGAAACAGATCAAACTTAAATTGACATGGCATACTAGACATGTTTGTAAATAAACTGATGACATGAATACCTAATGCTTCTGCTCTGAAATACAGAATATTATTACTGAGCATGTGGTTATTTTATTATTTGGGTAATTCTCCAGCATTAGTTTTTAATCAGCTGTAGATAACTTACTTAATAGTTTTAAACTTTGAGATTCTAATTTTTGATTCTCAGGTCAGAATCTTGTTGGTAATTTATCATATAATGAAATGCAAGTTTGACATTGGTAGTTGTAATTAGTTTAAAGGGAGAAAACTCATGTATTTTTAGGTTTTCTCTCATTTAATGGAATGATTGTTTTATTCTCCATGAGTAATAATCAGGAATTTTTTCCCTTATTAGTACTGTTGACCAGTAAATATAAAATATAATTGAGAAAATATTCACAATGTATTCTGGAGCTTTAGCTGTAATATGCCCTGAATAGGAGGTAAAAGATGAGATGGTGATTGATGAATTATTTATATATGGTGAAATGCTGCTTAAAACTTAAAATAAGGGGCTGGGAATTTAGCTCAGCCGCACAGTGCCTGTCTGGCAAGCGCAAAGTCGTGAGTTCGATTGCTGCTACCGGAAAAAAACCAAAACCCCCCCCAAAAAAACTTAAAATAGTAGTGACTTAGTTTTGGGGAAAAGTTATTAGCTACCAAATACTTTCATCCTGGTTTGTTTACTATAGGTGGTTACTACAGGTGTTAGATCAATACTATAACGAGGCATTGCAGAGTGGCAGTCTCCTCTAGATGGTTTGGTGAGAGGGTGCTGTACTATTTTTAAGCCAACATTTAAAACTAGGACATTGATACAAAAATTCATTTCTGGATTCCTGAAAAATCAAACGATTCTCCATCTCTTGATAGAACAAAGCAGCTGTCTAGGTCAATCCTCATTAGATTTGCTTTTGGGCCCTAATATAAAACTGATAGAAAACTTCAGAAGGGGAATGATTTACCCAAGCCATTAACATAAAGGTTTTTTTTTTCTTTTTATTTTCATGGCCCATATGATGAAGCAAATCAGTATGAGTAAAATGATACTGTAAACGCTTTCTGATGTGCTAAGCTGGTTAGCAGTGTATTCATGAAAGTACATAATAGCAGTAAAATGAATGGGTGTTTTTAAATCCCGTTTTTGTTTTTGCTAGAACCTTAAGTTTTGGTATTTTTCTCAACTTACGTGCTATAGACCAACTTCAGCTTCTTGGACAGCCATCCGGCATTCTTCATTCCAGTAGCTGCCCGGATGCTTCTGCACTTTTGTTCCTTACCCAGTGATGAATCCAGTGTCATGCTCTGGTGTTTTTCTATGGAATATTCTCTTGAAGGAAGTGAAATAATGCTACCTCATGAGATAAGTTTGAGCTTTAGTCCAATTTCTGACCAGTCCTAACAACTTCTTCTGGCATAAAACATGACGGAAATCAAAAGGAACCATATTTAGTAGCAGGGTCTAAGTGGAAAAGTACTTGAGGGACTTCAATGAAAAGACACCCCCTCCCCTGCCTGACTTAGAGGAATGTAGGTTGTGCCATCCCAACTTGTCTGGTCCTGAGCGGTGAAGTACATTGCTGAGTAACGAAGTGCACTGCGGAGTGGAAAAGGCCAGGCAGCTACTTAGTTTCTGTATTTGGGTTCTCCTAGAAAAGCAATAGGATTCATGTCAAGACCTTAAAGGAATTGACCCCTTTAAGTGGCTTGATGAACCCAAAGTTTATTGAGTGTCCCAGCAGTTGGGCTGTGTGATGACATCATGCACAGGTCTGTTTTCATTCTGTTGAAAGCCTTGAAGGTAAGGGGTAAGGTTTGTCCATATTATTATCAGTTTTTTCAAGTGTACCAACTTCAAAAAATAACCACGGTACCAATTTTCAAACAAATCCCTCTCAAAAGTACTAATTTCTGGTTGGCATGTGATTTAAAGTTGGCTTTAATTTTTTAGAAAATGCTATACATGGTTGGGTTTGTGAAGTTTTCCCTACACTAGTTTTTAGATTAACACATAAAACAAGTTTCTCTTGAAAGTAAATACGTTAGGATACCTGAGTATAAGGAGACACAGACGAACTTTGCCTTTATTGTAGTTTCTTACTCCACAGTCTTCACTGTAGAGATTTGATCAGAACGCAAGATGGCTTTCAGCAAAAGCCTCAATATTGCTTCCATAGCTGTAGCCATTCTAGAGGGAAAAACTAAAAATGACCTACATTCTGTAAAAGTCCATTTTGTTAAAACCTTTTGTTAAATGTTAAGAAGGTGGGCTTAGGACCAGATTTGCTTGAATGTAACCGGGCTTGGGCACTGGTTAACATCCCTAAGTGATTCTTTACCTCACTTTCCTTGAACGTCAGAAGTCGTGCAATAATTTAGAGTAGTGAAGCTCAAAAATGAGAATGCATGTAGACAGATTCCTTTAGATGCTTCTTACGGTGCTTCTCTCAGGACCAGTGAGACAGGAACTAAAGGGAACAGTTAGTAAATCGTTCCAATTGATCCTGAAGCCCTTGTGCAACCGTTGAAGATAGTAGTCTTCACTCTGCTGTGCTCGTCAGACATCTAAACCTGAGCAGATCTGGTGATGCCAGGGTGGTGGTGCTGTAATTGTCCATCTGTTCATGTAATGGGCTACACCTTGAGAGAGAGGAGCCGCGGGTGTTGAGTACATGGCTGTAGTTCAGCCGTGCTCTCCACGCTGTTACATGACTGAGGTACCAGGATGTCTGTAAAGGTTGCCCCTGATGATTTCTCATCAACCCTATCGTGCTACACCTAAGTTTCCCAGATCTTTTAGACAGTTCATTACTTCTACAATCTACAGAAATTACTAATTTTCTTGCTGGTTTCCCGTATCAGTTTCTCATCTTTTTTTGATGCTAGAGACTTTCACTTTATCATGTTTTTCATGCATACCTTCCAGAGTGGTCTGAACATGTATTGAAAGGGTTATTGAAAGCAAGAATGGTAACATGATCTACAAAAGACCAAGTCTTTGTCTTACCTGTATAGTCTCAAGCCTGCGTGCTCTCAAAATAATTTAATATCCCCGAATAGGGTATATGGTAACTATTACATTACCAGTATTTGCACATTTTTTACCTCCAAGATAACAATTTCTCTATTCAATGACCATGATTTCCACTTTTCAGGTACTAGACCATTTATGGGGTTCTTTTCATCCATTATGTACCTGTGTGGGGAAATGATTTTACGGGTACCAAAAATTGACTGAAACAGTTGTACACACTGAGTATCGTAGAGCTGATTCTGTTTAACCCTGGTACCCTTATTTCATTGCCAGTTACATGACAAGGTAGTCTGGTATTCCCATATGTTGCCATTTTCCCTAGGCATCTACGTTTTGTAGGACACAGTTCTCAATTACAGCATCAAAAATATTTTCTGATACAGGCTAGTATGGGTTTACTGCAAAACTCTGCCCTGCAGTGTTTTGCAATGTAGAATTTAATGTTAATTTCCTGGATTTTACAAAGGATTCTGTGTATTCCCAGGTTATGACAGGAAAAAAAAAAATCTAAGTCTTCCCACAGTTCCTCCCAAAAAACATGGTCTTGAAAAACGAAGTACCCATAATCAGTGGTTTTAACCTAAGTAGGAAATACTTCAAATAACCTGTAGTAGGAAAATCCAGGCTAGCGAAATCACATCTAGAGCCTGCAACCCCAGGGAAGATGTAAGCAGAGGTGGGTGGCAGGATGGGTGTGTGGATAGGGAGATGAAATAAAGTAGGTGAAGTCACTTTCAAAAGCAGCAGGAAAATACTGAAAATCAGCTGAGGTGCTGCAGATCAGAGCACTGACTACTAGGAATTTGAAAGAAAAAGTCTAAGGCAGAAGTTTCAGATCCTGCCACCTCCAAATAAATCCAAGTTATTGGGACGGTGTCTATGGAGATGTGATAAGGGAAGCAAGAGGGGAATAAATGTTCCTTAAAAATCAAAAAGAGGGGCTCAAATAAGACACACCAAGGCTCTCCAATCAAAATGGTAGGAGTTGTGGGCCGGGGATATAGCTCAGCAGCACAAGCCTGAGCTGGCAGTGCAAGGTCCTGAGTTCAATTCATGGTATCAAAAAAAAAAAAGGTTTAAAAGAACTGTATTTCACCGTATCAAAAGTATTTTTGAACTAAGAAATCTAATTTGCCTCCTCAAACTTTCAAGTACAGTTTAATATTGACAGTATTATTGATACAATGAAAAAATATCAAAGCAAATATGTGACATGACATGTATATAAATTTACCGGGAGGAAACAATTTCATAACATTCCATTTGCATGATAAAAGTATTGCCCCTAGGAAACAGCATCCCGAAGCAGAAGAAATCTGTAACACAGTCCAGTCTCAAATAAATATCCTTAAACATTTGCAAATATTGGGGAAGAAAACAACACCTTGAATTAAAAATTCAAAACCTTAGGAATAAGGTGGTACAGACAAATTATTCTTTCCAAATCAAAATAAAAAGGCACAGTCTTCAAAATCACAGAATGCCTAAGCAATGGCTGGGAATTCAGTAAAAGAATGGGAGGAAAGGCATTAACTAAAGAGAAAAAATAAGTAAAATACATATACAATGAAATTCACACCTGATGTTGCTATTTATTGAGGTTAGACAGACGCGTACACTTGTATAATACAAACTAATGTTAAAATGTAGAACATTAACCCCGGAGTCCCTTCATACTGTTTTCCTGTCAGTTCCTGTCATCTCCAAAAGCTACACCTGTTTTGATTTCACCATAATGATTTCTAGAACTTCATATGATGTATAACTTTTATTTATAAAAGTTTCAGAGCATATAAATTCTCTAGGTGTACCTGTTAAATGGCATGTTAGTAAGAATGATTAGTATCAGTTCTAATGGTGTCAAAGAATTTCCTGAAGAAAATCTGACCTATTAAGTTAAAAATGGTATGGTACAAGTGAACTGTGCAATTTGTTATCAGAGAATATATGAGATAATAGAATGAGGCGTTTCAATTAGAATGAAACTATTTTCCTCAGAATTATCTGAAGTAGCACATTGGGAAAAGACGGGATGGACAGATA